AAAAATGCCTTTAAGTCAGATGACACAGATTCTTCAAAATACTTTCCCAATTTTCAAGTGCATTGGTAAACAAAGGTCTTTCCCTCAACTACCACTATGCAACAAATAAAACTACTATATAATAGCACAAAGCTATACATCTCACAATCAGCATTGTCTATTTTTGCAAAAGACTCCAACAACAAAAAAAGTAAATCTACAAACTCACTATTTAGTAAAAGCTTGACTAAAAGCTTCCTTTCCTTAAAGATTACACATGGTAACCTCTGAATGCTTTAACCAATAATTATTAGAGATGGGCTTAAACTGTAAATGCTCTGTCTAGATATGAAACGTTCCCAAAGTTTAAAATTACCTTTATAGGACACTCTAGATTGAACCCAGTAATATACTATCTATATTGTATTCTTTTTAGAAAATAACTCTCTAAGCTACCTAACAGGCATTACTGTTATCATGTACATCACCATTTAAAAAAAAAAAAAAAAAAAAGAAAGATTCAGCTTCAAAAACATTTTGCTTGGTCACTTATCTCTGTTTTTATCCCATATAGAACTGAGGTTTTCAATTTTCTGCGAAACCTGGTCCATCAATACATAGCTTATGTCTTTTCATAACAAATATACCTTCAAAAAAAGAATCAATATTTCATGACATCTAAGCCTGCAGGGAAAAAAAATATTCCATCTCATAATCCATTAATGTAACAATTATATTCTCAGGTTCCCATCACCAGCTATTAACAATTAAAATTTTTGCATTCAAGAATCCTTATAATACAAAGAACAGAAATTCTGTTCCTAAAGTTGAATGAAATTTACTTTTTAGAGGAATGAACTGGAGGGTAAATGCACACAAGGTCCTATAATAAAAGGTTTGGATTTGCCCAGTGGCTGCCTGAAGCCAAGAAAAAAATTGTAGGCAACAGAAATAAACTGAATCTTTACTTTTTTTTTTTATTTTTAAAGGCAACACTACATTTTTAAAAACTTGCTCGTTAATACCAGCCTGTGAATTTATCGGTTATCAAAATATAAATCTTAATTACAGTTATTATACAATTAAAACATTGCTTTTTTTTTCCAAAAATAAACAAACACAACATTTCCAGTCTTTCTAATCCACCTGTGACTAAATAAAAGATTAGTGAAGTGGATGTTAGAGTCTGGAAGAGGGTCTGCTCTGAATAAACTGGGGTTTTGGTGGTTCCCTTAATTCACCAATATCAGGGTTTTATCCAATTTTGCTTAAAAATCATGAAACCCATCCTGTAACGATGGAATTCAAATAGAAATTAAATAGAAACATAGGTCTCCAGTGCCATTTTTAATGAGCAAAATCTAAATATCCAATCAGGACCTGCTCCGCCTGTACAGTGCACAGACAGGATTCATCTATATTGTGCAATTATTGTAAGTAGCCGCAACTATTCCGGGCCTTGGCTTTATACCTTGTTGAAAACACAGCCAGTACTGAAGCCTTGGATTTACAGCCATAACAAGGCACTGGCTGACTGCTAATACAGAGGACAGAGAAACCACACCTAAAAGGAAAACAATTTAATTTCACAGCTATTTCCACTTCATACCAACCATTTCTTACCGATACTAACAGACATTATTGAGTGATAATCTATAATCACCTATCACCACATTTCAATTACATAGGTGTAAATCCAAAATATACCTAGTATTAATAGAAATTTCCTCAACTCAGTGTTAACAAATATCTGTACTTCATCACCTTATACAGGTTCAGATTATTACTGCAGTTACATGATTTACAACTAGTGAGAGGGTTAACCACTGTTTCTTATTTAATTAATTGCTGTCTCCCTCTAACTGCAGTTATAAAATGACTAAAACATTGGATGATAACAAATATAAAGCATGTTACTTATTCCTGTTTTATTCTTACTGCGTATTGATACAGTAACATTCATATTGCACTTTCAGGCAAAAAGACTGGACTTATCTAGAATATTAGCGAGTCTTACATGAAAATAGAATTGAAATATTTGGAAATAATATAACGATGAAAGCACAAGAGTTCACCCATCTTCACGAAGAATTCAGCAATATAATTAAAATATATGTGTTTTTCTCTTCTAAAATAAGGGAAATGCAGGTCTGAAACTATAGGGATAAGTAATGAGGTAAAACAAACCTTTAGATTAATGAAGCAAGTTAGTTTCCCCATGATCAGACTTTGTTCTTTAATTTTTACTGAAAATTAAGGCTGCCAGGCATACGATCACAATTCTCAAATGAAAACAAAAAAGTATTTAATGGTACTAGAAACTATTTATTTTTTGGAAATTAGTCAGCAACACATTGTGGAGTTAGAAAAATAATTTAACAAGGTCTACTAATTTCATTAATAATGAAAATCACCTTAATATGTATGCTTCTATGGCTACACTTACTGTGTCTAGAATACAGAAAGAACTTAAAACAGTCCCAGAATTACCAGCTAATATGAAGACCAGGGACAGTTTTGAAATTGATATTTAGAAAGAATAGCCAATCCTTTTCCATTACAAATCATTCATTTCAATCTCAGTCAAAGAAATAAATAGGCAAGAAAACAGATACCTTGTCCATTAGGGCTACTTCTCTAGTTCTCTCACTTAGGCGTATCTTGGAAATTTTCAATTGACAGCACATATATCACTCTTAAACTAAATTTACAGAGCAGTACAACAATTTAAACATGACACCATGTTCCAAAATTTAAACCTACAAACCCCTCAATTTATACAGTTAAGACTAGATACATTTCCATTACAACCATTAGGTCTGAGGAGCGATCTGTCATCCGACTGCACTACTGTCTTTTTACAGTTTTGATATTTCCTTCCAAAAGAAAAGAAACATAAGCATTTTATAACACAACTTTTAACATGTCTGTCTACCATACACTAACAAAAACATTGCTACTGGACAGTGATATTTAGTGGATGTCAGACATATTCTGTACCCTTAAATTCTGTTACCTATCACAGCACTATATTTTACCAAAATCTAGATACTGCAGTTTTCTCAGTCATAACACACAGCATCTCCTTGCCTCGCACTTCCTTGAGCAATAGGAAATACATATATCTAGACTATAACTATTAGGAAATTTAGTTCTTAAATTTAGCCCTTCTGCAGCACCTTGTAGAAGAAATGGTAGAACTGAAGCCCTAAATCACACAATTTAATAGCCCAACTTCAAATGACCCTAACCTCCACGTTCTGCATGATTAGCACATTAGGACAATTTTACCTGAAAACAGGATATATGTCAGCCCAGCATCGCAGATGTGAATAGCATTAGGAACCCAAAATAAATTACAGTAGCCTTTAAAAAAGCAAGACAGAACTTTTCTGCAAAAAAAGTTACACTAAAGACAAGGCACTTCTTTCTGAGCAACTCTAGGAACTACACAATATTCAGGAGCAACCAGAGCTTCTCCACAGACTTTTTGGGGCCTAATTCAGGGAGCGGTACTCAGTGCAAGACAGAGTGGCTCCTGTTGACCAGTATATTCTTCTACCTATTTCAATGATCAGACATTATAATATTTCCTTTTACATTACAGGAGAGCTTGAGGTACCCAAATGCTCATAAATGTCACAAGAAATAACTGTTTGACTCCCCTTTCTAACTGTGGATTGCACACCATCATGGTGAAGGAAATGAGGCACCTAAATTCTCCTGAAAATGTGGGCCTTAGTAACTTAAATCTCATTGCTTTCAAAAATAGCTTTTTATTTCTAGCATTGCCTACATGCTTCTGAAATGCGGAATGACTCTATAAATAATAAAGCAATATTTGAATACAAATAATGAGGCAAACATTCCTCACCCTTTCTCTCTGCTTTCCAGATACATTTGCATGATATAAAATGTATTTAAAAGAACAAAAGCTTAAATGTGAGATGGTCTGTGGGAATACAGAACTGCAAAGGAAATATTTGTGCAGCTACTCTGAGATATTTTTTTTCTGCAGTTTGTTGTCTTCACAAAGAACAGTAAAAATAACTTGCAATTCAAAGATGAACCATGCACAGCAAATTACACAAGGATGGTCATGAGTCAGCCCCAGGATACATCTGCTCCTGTATTCTGCATATAACAATGACCTATACTATCCTGTACCAACAGCAGAGCCCAAACTATCAGGCATAACAGCAACAAGTATACCCTTTACTTTTGGCCTCTACACAGTCTTGTGACAATATGTAGAGTATGACAATGCTCGACAAAAACAATAATTTTTTTCTTTCAATCCACCACCTGGTAGTCAATGGAAGTTCCCTAGTTCTTCAGCAATAAAAAGAGTGGATAATTGTTCCCTGTGTTTCCTCCATGTGATCAACAATTTTCTAGAGCACAGCCATATCATTCCTTAGTTGTTTCTTTTCCAATATAATGAGCCCTGTTCAGTTTAAGCTCTCAAATTCTTACCTCTGATTGTCTGCATTGACCTCCTCTGAAGCTTCTCTAAGTCTACTGCATCCTTTTTAAGAGGGCATGACAAGAACACAAAATTCAACTTTCTATTTGACATCTGGTAACTGTTAAGGACTGAGTTGCCTTTTTCACAGATAAATCCACAATGGTTCCAGAACTGCTCCTGAATTTTATATATGATTAATCTGCAGTTATCAACAAACTCAATCATTCAGTACTGTTAAATCCTTCTGCAACACTATAATGTTTTCATTATTTGTCACTCTTTTGAATAATTTTGGATGATCTGTAAACTCTGTCACCTCACTGTCTCCTTTTTCAGGTTTTTTTTTTTGTTTGGTTTTTTTTTTGGTTTTTTTTTTTTTTTTTTTTTTTACTATGTTAAACATCGCAAATCACTGTATAGATCCTTGAAAATACCCATTGGTAAAACCTTCCCTATGAAAATCTATTTCCACACTGATCCTTCAATCTTTTTTGGCCAAAAGAAGGCATTCCCTCTTGGTAGAGAAATACAAGTATGGTTTATAGATCAGATTTATCTACACCTTTGACCCCTCCATAGATCCTAATACATTTATGAGGTATGACTTGCCTTCAGAATAGCCATGTTAACTATTCACTTCATGATCATCCAAAATTTTATCTATTCCAGTGACTGCTACAGCTTAGCTTGGCTTTTACTGATTCACCAAGCGTGGGAGTGGGATTCCGTGAGCTGTAGTTCCTGATGCATTTAAAAGCTTCCTAGGGTCGTTCTTAAAAAGGGTGGGCAGTATATGACACCCACATTCCAGTGCAAGTGAAGCCAATGTTTGTGAGTAGTTGTATGCCACAGTTAGGAGTTCAGCAATTCCCTGTTTGAGCTCTGTTCAAGTTTGGTTTTGCTATTTTATAATATTCACTTTTCTGGTTTGCTCTGCAGTCATTTCTTTTGACACTTCAGTTTGAAATGCTCCTTCAGACTCCTGTCCCCTCCTTCACTGATAACATCTGCAGTGTGACACAGCCTCCCTTGCAGGGAACATGCTACTTTCCAAAATTAATGAAAAACTTCTACTGGTAGTTTATAGTTTACTCTTCCATTTTGACAGGACTTTCACTTTTGAAGGGAGGTTAGGGATTTTGATGAACCCTCTTAGAGTCCTTCTGAACCTCCAATGGAAGTTAAGCTGTTTATGTTAATGTTGGTCAGCTATTTGCTTGTCACACATATTTACAAAAAACAAAATCTCCTGACTATAAATTCATGACTGAAACCAATGGCACATCCTGCTACTAAATTATTTGCAATGAGATCATTTTCCTAGCTCTTCGACACAATTTCTTACTTTGAAAGCTACCACGTAAGGGTCCACAAGGTTCATTACACAAGCAGCAGGGAGTCCCTCCTTGAGAGAAAGAAGAACAAAAATGGCAACCTATCTGTATTTTGCTTCTAGTCCTTGATTTAAAAAGCTGATGGGAAAATTTCAGTCTAATTCTAAAAATATAATTAACTCTGACAGTCTAATAAGAATTTTAGAAAACCATTCTTTTGAAAAGCATCTGAAAAAAAATAATTTTTTGCTCTTACATCTGCTGTAAGTAAATATTGCACTAGAATATATTGTGCCTGTCTTCATCTGCTATAAATTATATACATATACGTGTACACATAAGTTATGATCAGTGAACATGTGCTTAATTTGTTCCCAGAATTAAAAAGCTGTTCAGGATGGGAAAGTTTTCAACATAACAAAATGTGGTCAAAGCTTATTTTCTTGTAAACGAGAAAAAGAACTGGAGGATACATTCAGCAGCTAGCATGTTCAGAGCTCATAGCAGGTGACTGTGAACTACATCTGTATCTCTCTATCTGAAGAGTTTGAAATCACCAATCTTTGTGGAATCTTGGAAAGAAAAACACAATCAATTTTCTACTACTTACAAAGAGCGTCCTTCATCAGTCATCCCCTAAAGGAAACAATATGCCTGGGTTTTAAGATTTCTCATTAACAGATAGCAACACTTTTTTTTTCCAAAGCATTACTGACTGTATCATGGCTGTGTTAATTTTTTTTTTTAATAGAATATAATTTATTAAATAATAATTACTGTAAGATGCTCACAAGAAAATAAATTAATAAAATCCAGCAATGGTACTATATGACTTTAAAAAAAAACAAACATATAGAATAGATTCTATTAATTCAAATTAATTTTCATGTTCCAGTGACCCTTAGCAAATTCAGATTAGAAAGCCCAACAGCACAGTAATAATGGATGAAGTTGATTTATTATGTTTTCCTATTTACACAATTTCAGCATGCTCTGTATTGTTCATTAATTTTTATTGGAGATAAAATTCATATAGATCCTTATAGTTTTTCCCTTACATAATTAGCGAGTTCCCCATTGCAGACATTTTGCTTTGAATATGCCTGATTTAACCATTATTCCAACCCTATGAGGAACAATAGCTTCTTCAGTAACATTTAAGGATTTGTTTGTCAAGTAGAAAAGAATCTGTTGAGGAAAAGCTGTCATGCTAAACACCTGCTCCTTTAATCTGGTCTCCCAGGAAAAAAAACCAAAACAAACCAGCATTTAAGTGATTATGCTGTCTGATTCATTTTAAGCCTATTGCCTATTTTCAACCAAATTTGACCAAAAAAAATTCCAAGATAGAAAGTTCCTAAAAATTCCATGACAATTATAGCAATGTAAAGTGAAAAGACCTGCCAACACCCGCAGAGACAGAAAGGTAGGAAGAGTTTCCATTTTGCATGTGTATATTTATTGCCCAGTCAGGCTAGCTGTAGCTCCAGGATGTGGTCTCTCTTATCCCAGTTTGAAATGCCAGAAAGTAGAAAACAACACCAGTGGTGCAGAGGGCATTGTGGGATGATTTAGCATCAATTGTGCTTGAGCTGTTTTCACCAATAAGAGGACCTGGGTTTGTTGCAGGAAATGAGTATTTGTAGGAAACCAGCCTTCAATCACTTCAATTGCTCATAAAAAACGTGTAATATATTGTAAATCAGGTTTGAACATGAATTTCTGTTAAATTAATATAGCCCCTGAATTCAAGTTGTAGCCACACTCAGCTACATCCACACTTCCTCATTTTTTTTTTTTTTGCAACTCTAATAAGTAAAAATATATTAAGACACATGTTATTGGATTATAGGGATCACTATTACTTTCAATTTCTGGACTTCACTGTTGTACAGATTTCTATTATCAAAATCCATTCTCATCTCCAGCAAGCTCAATTGAAAATGTAAGCTTAATAGTTTCGTCCATGCATTGTAGAAATGAAAAGAAAAACTTCTGAAGCACTGCAAAAAATACTTACAGTATCAAAAAAATAGACAGATTTGAACTTTGAGGAAAATCCTATTTTCCAAGTGCACTTTAATAATTAATAAGTGAAATAAATTATAACCTGATATGTACACGATCAGGTTAGTTCATTCTTCCTTCAAGTGTCCTTTCTTCCCTCTACAATCTCCCAGGATGGTTGGTGTGATAAAAAAATCCTTCCCTGCTTTGATGGGAGACTTTCTGTTAGCTTCAACGTGCTTAAGGTCAGACATCATTGTACAATGATACAGAAAAATGCTTTAGTAAGTGCTTAACAAACAGACTGACACATCCATGAGTGATGAGGACAAGCTTATAAAGACTGTTACACCCCAGCTTAAACCACAACTCAAGTTAACTAAAATTGCTAAAAAAATGTGCTGGAAAAACTGTGCAATTATTTTAAGAGTCATTTAAATTCTTAAATAGAATTTGTATAAATATTTATTCCATGTTATTTACCTGTTCTTCAGAAATATGAGACAGAATATGGCAGGAAAATAAGACATGAAAGAACAACAATGCAACTGATACTTGTTGACACAAGAGCATGTGAAATTGGGAGACTTTACAATAGGAAATATGTACACACAGCATCATCTTACAGATTAAAATGGGAGAAAAAAACCCACATAAAAAGTCAATAGCATTGACCAAGAAGAGAGCACATGAAAGTCTGGATATATGTGTACAAGCCTACACTCATAGATCGTCATGCATCTCTGAGTATGAGTGTGTATATAAACACAGTCTGGAGGGTGTGATTCCTATATTTAAATTCCAAATATATAAATTCCAAGAGGAAGTCACGCTTGACCAACTTCCACAATGAAATGACTGGCCTAGTAGATGAGGAGAGAGCAGTAGATACTGTCTACCCACACTTCAGAAAGGCCTTTGACACTGTGTCCCATAAGATCCTCACAGAGAAGCTGTTCATATACAGACTGGATAAGAAGACAGTGAAGTAGTTTGAAAACTGGCTGAACAGCTAGACCCAGACGTTGGTGATCAGTGGCACAAAATCTAGTGGGAGGCCAGTAACTAGCTGTGTACCCTGGGGGTCAATACTGGGTCCACTCCTGTTTAACATCTTCATTAATGGTCTGAACGATGAGGCAGACTGTACACTCAGCAAGTTTACTGATGACACAAAACTGGGAGGAATGGCTGATACACCAGAGGGTCATACTGACAGAAGGTCCTCAACAGGCTGGAGAAATGGGCTCCATGGAACCTCATGAAGTTCAACAAGGGCAACTACAAAGTCCTGCACCTGGGGAGGAAAAACCCCATGCACCAATATATGATGTGGGCCACCCAGCTGGAAATCAGCTTTGCAGAAAAGGACCTGCTGGTCCCAGTGGACACCAAGGGAACATGAGCATGAGCTAGCAATGTGCCCTTGCTGCAAAGAAGGCTAATGGTATCCTGGGCTGCATTAGGCAAAGTATTGCCAGCAGGTCGAGGGAGGTGATCCTTTCCCTCTACTCAGCTCTGGTGAGGCCACACCTAGAGCACTGTGTCCAGTTCTGGGCTCTTCAGTGCCAAGAGAGGCAGGGACATTTTGAAGTCCAACAAAGGGCCAAAGATGATTATAGGACTGGAGCACCTCTTCTATGCGGAAAGGCTGAGAAAGATGGGATTGTTTAGCCCAGAGAAGGCTCAGGGTGGGCCTCATTAATGTATATAAATACCAAAAGGGAAGGAGCAAAGACCACTGAATCAGGCTGTTTTCAGTGGTGCAGAGTGATGGGACAAGAGGCAATGGGCACAAACTGAAACACAGAAGGTTCTGTCTGAACATCAGAAAACTCTTTTTTAGTGTGAGGGTGACTGAACACTGGAAAAGGTTGCCCAAAGAGATTGTCGAGTCTCCCACCTTGGAGATACTTAAAAGCCATCTGGACACAGTCGGGCAACTGGCTCTAGGGTGCCCTGCTTGAACAGTGGAGTTGGACAAGATGATCTGCAGAGATCCCTTCCAACCTCCACCATTCTGTGATTCTGCCCTATAGACTACAAATTACTTATTTTGCAACCCTCTTTGTGAAATTCAGAAGTGGACTAAGTGGTAAAGGTGATTAACTAGAAATGTTAAAAAAAATAAAGTTGCCTTTAGAGGGCAGCTGGAAAAGAAATTTTTGGAAAGAAGAAGGAAAAATCCTTATTGAATTACAACACAGCTGCCATTAAAGATATTAACATCATACTCTTTCACCTACCCTGTTGGTCTGTTACTGTACATCACTCTAAAATACAAGAGGAAAAAAAATCAAAAGAGGAATAATCCATGTGTGATAAAACCAAGAGCAAATCACAAAAAGGTTAAAATTAGTTAGTAATCACTGAAGAGATCCAGCAGTTAGTCAGAAGAAAGAAAATGGCTATGGTTCCCTGAGTGACAGCTATTTACTCCACCTTACAAATGAGCCATATGTAATACGTATCATTTTTCCTTCTAGAAATACGCTGCCAACCATCTTTTCCTAATACCACTTTAACAGGCCACAGCTAGTAATATTTTGTCTCCAGTCCAGTCCGCAAAATGCCTTTATTAAAGTCTTTCATTAATGTAAGTACCAAGGTTGACAGTATGACAGGATTTAGTTTTTAAAGTGGCAGGGATAAGTTATTTTTCTTCCTAAAATGTCATTCATTTGGCTATTGCTTTATATTACACTGTACACTTGCTAACAACTGACTTTGCATAATAGGAAACCAAAGGAAGGATTTGGAATGAAACAGGAAAGTGATTAGATGGAGAAGTACAGTATTCAGATAACAAACAGATCACATCCAAAGCAGTATGAATCCATTCACAGCTATCAAATAAATATCTTAATTGATTTAAAGGAAGCTCTACGGTCATGCTTTGTCCACTGACTTCTATATTCTGCAGATCTCATCTTCTTGCTGGTAATATATTAACACAGCACACTGCTAAGTAATGCTGGATAAGTCTGTTGCATTTGTTGTCCTACTTAAAAGTAACTTTTACTCTAAGTAGATTTGTAGGAAGAAGTTTTGCAAATGAAAGATACTGAGCAAACAGAAATCAGAAGGGAATCTCTGGCTGCTGCTGTTGATGGCACTCACCATTTATAGCATGTTCAGCAAGACTGGGTACAGAATTACACCCTACGTATGACTCTTAAAACGTAAGCCCGCGGGTTTATTTGGGTCGAGGAAACTGGAACAGGCCTGGAGTTTTGGGGAGATTCTTTGGGTTTTGGGTTTGTTTTTTTTTTTTTTTTTTGCAAAGATGGCTAGAATTTACCATCTAAGAAAAGAAAACAAAACACACTACGGAAGGTTGTCTAACGTCAGGCATCGTTAGACGAAATAGCTGTTGCATCTAGAAATAATCCAAACATTTTCCTTAAACTTGAGTCTAAAATTCAATTAGTAGTGTCAATTCAAAATTAGTTGCCAGGATTTTATTTAATCTTAGTTACTCTAAATTGGTAATTTACTGGCAGGGACACTTTTTTACCCTCTACCTTCATCTGCAACACAGTTTATAATATCAACTTCTGAGATCAAAGGTGACGCAAACAATGTGACAGTTAAACTGTAGTATACTTTGTTGAACAGCTTCAGAGCACAAAAATCTCTTCCATTTGGTGCTCTCTTTGAGGTCATTAGCATGATTTATTAGGAAGCAGGAAATTAGGTACTAAAAATTTCTGTATTGAGCAGAAAATTTAATTCCATCATTGCCACAGAACTACTTTATCTCTTGAACAAACTTGTAACCATAATAACGTGTGGGTTTTGACTGTGATAGAGTTAATTTTCTTCACAGTAGCCGGTATGGGGCTATGTTTTGGATTTGTGTTGGAAACACTGTTGATAACACAGGGACACAGACAGGGCAGCTGACCCCAGCTGACCCAGGGGTATCCCACACCATATGACGTGATGCTCAGCATATAAAGCCGTTGGAAAGAGGAAGGAAGGGGGGGACGTTGGGAGTGATGGCATTTGTCTCCCCAAGTCACCGTTACATGTGATGGAGCCCTACTGTCCTGGGGATGGCTGAACACCTGCCTGCCCATGGGAAGTAGGGGATGAATTCCCTGTTTTGCTTTGCTTGCCTGCACGGCTTTTGCTTTCCCTCTTAAACAGTCTTTATCTCAACCCACAAGTTTTCTCACTGTTACTTTTTCCGATTCTCTCCTCTATCCCACCAGCGGTGAGTGAGCAAGTGGGTGTGTGGGGCTTAGTTGCTGGCTGGGGTTAAACCATGACAAATAACTAGATTAGAAAGTATTCCTCAAATGTTTTAAATTTTTTTTATTCTTATTAATGACACCAAACACTGAAAAATAATGGCAAATTCTTATTATCTTCTAGTTTCCCAAAGCATCTGCTGCTCAAGTGTGATTCTTCTGAAAGATCTTAAGTAAACAGAAGTATTTTAACAAGGCCTTCCATTAAAATTCTGTTAGCTTAAAGAGAACAAATGCTTTCTGTTGGAATTGTTTATGTGACTATCAATATTTTTAAAAAAAGGGAAGTTTGAAGAGAGGCCTTTCAGAAAAAGAGATAAATTTGAAGTGCTGTTTTCACTTAATGGTTTGTTAGGACATCAAATACATATCCCTTAATGAAAATTAATATGCTGTAGTTTAATAATTCATGTACTTGCATCGAAAGCCCTTTAATTTAATGGAGTGCTGTTCATTTCATTACATTCATTGCTGAGGTAGGTTGGTATTTTTCCATGAAGGTCAGAAGTGTGCCATTCCTTCATGCAAGCCATGAATTTGATCAGATGTTAAACTCTGACATCTCCAATGGTCTGTTCAGGTCTAACAGAGCTGGGTATTACACATTTTCAAGAAAACTAGAACAACAGGAAACCTCTAGGTGTCTGTTCTTTCACGATCAGAAGCATGTATTTATCAAAATTTGTATTCCTTCCTCAGTACTTCTGGTGGAAATTAATTCCTCTTCTCTAGGGACTAGAAACTTTTCTTCTAATCTTCCACCAAAATTTATATCCATTAGTTATTACACCAGTATTTTCTTTTTGCTTAAATCATTACACTCACTCTGGATTTAAAGAAAACACTGTGCTAGGCTGAAAAAATTATGCTCAGATTTATGTATTTCTGCCTAATCCTACTGTGCTAGTACCATAACTTGGTTGTTCTTTAATCCCAATCTTTTTTCTTGATTAGGAAGAGCTTTATTTATTAAGACTGTCTGTATTGCTTAAGTGCTATTCATCAATAACACCTTCCCCATCCCACCCCGGCCCCGTGCACCCCACTTTCTGTACATCTTTCTACCACTCTTTGTTTGCTGCTTGTTTATGGATCCTCATCTGTGGGTGAGTCTTCTACCACACAGAATGATAGACACGGGTCTGCATACTTTAGCTGAGTGCTCTCTTTATATGACATCAGATCTTGATGCAAGAAACTAGCACTCCTTGTACCCGAGTAATTCTGTCTACTCTGAAAAATGTCCTCACCCTGCAATGCTTCCCAGAAGCCAATCATTCCAACATCTCCCTGATGGCACCACTTTTTCAGCTGTCACTGAAACATTCTTGCCTTCTGGACAAGTCAGAATTCTTGCTGATGACCACCTCCTCTTTTCTGAGCATACTCTTTGGCACAGCCTGATTATTACAGCTGCTGTTGTGATGATTTGAAAACAATTAAATGGATATGAAGAAATAATTTTTTTAAATCCACTGGATTTTTCCTGTAGACCTCAGACCCGCTTTTAGTTCCATAGTGAGAAATACATTCTCTTGCTTCTGTGCTATTTTTAGTAACTGACATGAAGATTCAGACCTTTACCAACTGAGAAGCTGGTAAGGAGTCACACAGATGTCTCTCTTGGTGTTGGAAAAGCTTTTAGGTATACCCCCTTCATTCTGCACATCATTCTGTCCTCTGTCAGTGCACACCATTATATTCCAGACCTGGACACCCATCCTACCCAGGTCCTTTCCCTCTTCCATTTCTCTTCAGACTCTCTCTCCCCACGCCTTCATTTTCTGCCTAACTTGCCAGTAGAACAAATGCACTTCTTAAGTCAGCTTTTATTTCTTGTTCTTCTGTTGTCTTTCACATGTCCTTCTCTAATAAACAATCCTTCTCTCTAGGTTCTTTTCAAAGGTCAGTGGACCCAATCACCTCTCTTTATGCTTCTATCACCTTCTTTTCAAACTTTTGCCTGAAGTTTGGCATTTTTTCCAGCTGCATCTCTAGTACTTAACACTTCTCTTCTGCAAAGCATATAATTTATCATAAATAGCGTCAATCAGATAGCCACTCAAAAATAATAAGCTTCCAGCAGCTTTTCTATCATTTATTTCCAGTTTCCTCCCCTCTTCAGGTTTTTTTCTATTGCTGCATTGACAGACAAGCTGTGTTTTATCTTTGCCTTAAATTCACAGCTCAGAGGAGGGGAAAAAAAAAGAAACCAAACCAAAACCCAAACCCACCACCTCATCATAGGTCTTAAAGATTTCTATCCCATTTGCTAGCATGCACTACTTTTTCTCTTCAGCTTTTGTTAAGGTCAGTCCTGCCATCTAATTGTTATTTGGCAGCTAACTGTTCATCAGCCCAGATCAAAGGCAGGGAGTATATATACACTACCTGATACAAAATATCTAAATAAACACCCTCTCCTTCCAAAAGGACAAAACAGCCAATAAAGAAACAAATTACCATACTGGCAAAAAGCAAGGTTTTGTTTTTTCTTCATTCATTGGTTTCCTCCAAAGTCTCCTGTGTACCTCTCTGTTTCTTCTGGCCTTCACTGAGCATAAAATGTCCTGCCAAGTTTTACCAGGCTACTCATGGCTTCCAGATCATTATGTCAACAATTAAAATATTCATTCTTATGAAGGACAATTGCTTTAAACTAAAAAATAGAATCATGGATTTGTCATATGCCCATCAATAAAATCCATAGCAAATCCTCTCAGCCTATATTAAAACACTGCCACTTTGCAGATGTCCTTCTCTCCTAATGTCTGGAAGAAGAGCTGGAACTTGCAGACCATTTCCACAATTACCTTCCTGCACTTTGGTCTCTGCATTAGAGAAGTATTAAACTTCAAAAAGTACCATCATGCCATTCATTACCACAGCTAAAGCGTGTCTGGAAACCTTCATCAAATAGATGCATAGAACCACCACTCTTAAGTTAGTCTTAGAAAACGTTTCCATACCTTTGTGGTGAATAACCTATCACCATAATTAAAAGATAATCCTGCATCCCACTGTTTTGTACTTCATTTGACTTGATGTGGACAAATAAACCGGAAAAGTAACATATGGAGAGAGACTGAAAATTGAATATCATATCCCTGTGCTATATCAGCAAGAGCTAAACAAAACACATCAACAACAGTCAACAGTTGTAGCCTGGGCCATCTGGTCACAAAGGCCCATATTACCAAGACTGTATTAAAATATTTTCATCTTACTAGTTTCCCCCAGGAATGAAGGATAATATGCAAAAGCTTAATTTCTGCTAAAAGGTGAGATTCTTCTTCCTACAGGCACAGCACATCTATGATAGTTATTTAATTAAGAGATACCCTAATGAAGGGTGTGCAATGGCAAGGCAATAATCTCATTCCTAAGTGGGTATGCTGGAAAGCCAGTAACAGCACAGAGAAGAGCCTCTACACATGTATTTCCTTGTTAGGCTAAATACTAATTTGAATATTTGATATTAATTAAAAAAATTTTTTTTTCCACTTGTACAGTGCAGTATCTTCTTTCTGACTTATATTACCAAACCTTAATGAATAAAGTCCTCTAAAAAAAATAATTTTTTTTGCTATTGTTTCCTAATTGTGAAATAAAATGTAATTAACTGTTCTCCCCCTGCTCCCAACTAAGTGCTAATAAGCAGCTCAATTGTTGGTGGCAGCTGCAATCACTTCCAAACCACCTTGTGCATTTCCAGGCAACATAGCATGGGTGGGAAAGCAAGAGGCAGTCAGGACCAATTACACTGGTAATTTGCTGAAGCAGGTGAAAGAAAGGGAAAATAACATACCTAGGGTGCAGCTGAACCCCTAACTGTTATGCGGACCTCCAAACCAGAGCACATGATGGTATCAAACAGAATTAGTCATATCCAAATTTATCACTACCCTGTATTTCATTCAGTCAGGAAAGCTTCATATGCCTGACGAGCAGAAAATGTAACATTGCAGTAACAAAGATGAAAACTAACGTTGGGATTATTTTTCACCCAGGAAGATGTATGGTTATTCACACACACTATTGGAATTCTTTGTGCCTAATTGATTTTGTTGCTATGTCTGAATAAAAAAATAAAACAGAACTTCCCCACTGTGCAATCTCACAGAGATTTGATGAGGAATGCCTGTTACAGAGGAGCTCAGAAGGACACTGCTCATGGTGTTTGGCAGCAAGGTGTGAGAGCCCTTGTGAACCCCTGTGCTATGAGACAAACTCTCCTGGTCCCATCACAGCAGACCTACACGAGTCCTCAGCCCTGACTGTTGGCAGTTACATGACAAAAGCTTGATCCAGAATCTGTATCAAATGGATTTCCTTTCTTCCTTCTCATTTTAAAAATTCTAACATGCAAATTATCCTTTCTCTGTATGTTTTTTCTCTTCCCCAAAATATTATAGAAACCACAGCTACTGAATACATCTGCAATGCCCCTTCACAGTGATTACAACAGACCAGGTACAGCAAAGTTTAAGTTCAAGAGAAAGTCATATGCATCAGAAGCTGCAATTCATCAGTCCATGTAGTGCCCTGTTGAGGCTTCTGAAGATAAGCCCTAAAATATTGTGCAAGAGCAAATAAACGTGCTTCTTATGCCTCACAGAATTCGGCAACTAAATGATTTTTTGCAAATTCATGAAGCTCTGTACAGTTCACAATAAATATCTAGAGTTAAATGAGACAGACGATCAACTTTTTCTATAGACAGTGCAGTATCTGAAACCAGTACATGAATTTGGTGTCTAAGGATCTCTAGATTAGCACAGACTATCCTATTTCTGAACTTTTCATGGCCTGTCTTATGAGGATTGTGACATGTCAAAAAGACCTAAAAGAATTGCTATTATTGTCAGCATTGACTCCTATTGAATTTTTTAGTTAGGGAACAATGGACTCTCTTCCCTACCATCAACATGTCTGAGGCTCCAAAGCTTTTTGTTTATGCTTTATTAAGCATTCAGTTGCAAATTACTGCAGTTGATCTAGAATACTTCATTCCTTTATTTTAAATATCTCAAATTTTTGTCTCACTTGACACATATACACTCTATGTTACTACTTCCAATAGCCAAAATACTCATGTCTAGGTACCTAAATTAGAAATATACTGAAAAAAAATTGTATTTAAAGACTTTTAAAACTGATGAGAGTATTTCAAGGTGCAGTTCCTATAATTTAAACATTAGTTGAGGATAGGTATCTTAGGGCCTTTGGAAAACAGACTGCCAGATGCTTTTAGCCCTCTGTGTTTGTACATCATCTAATGCACTTGTGATCCCTGACTAGCATTTCAGGAACAATAACAAATCAAGATGATAACATGCTAGGAAAATATTTAAGTACAAATAGGACCCGATCCATCTCATTCTGCTTAAGGAGCCTCAGTTACCAGGACTAGCATTCTAAACTCCCAATAAAATACCTAATCAAGGCACTTCTATAGAGCAACTCAGACTACCTCAGATCTAAAAATTCAGTGTTCAGGAGCAGTAGGGGTGGAAGGGAGAGGGAGAAATAAAATCCATAACATAAAAAAAGGAAGACTATAGATCTGTGTATAAGTAACCCTTTTAATTCTCTCACTGCTTTACAACTGCACAACAGAAGCCACAAAATTAACTATTCATCACTAACATATTAACCAACAATATTTACTTTAGTTATTGATCATTAATTCTCAAACACTGAAATGTGAAGGAGAAAGTTCAGAAATGGCTTTCCAAAGTTCAGGACACATTGAGAAATACTTCAGAAAGATAGAAAAACTTACGGAAATTTATGAGATCAGTATAAATTATTGATGGGGAAGGGGTAGAAAATTAAATCTTCATAGATTATTCTTTCTTTTTACTGGTAGGAAAACAACCTTTCCTAATTATTGAAGTAGCTGATTAGGTGCCAGCTGGCTAAATTACACATCGATTGCAGAGTAAAATTCTGCCCTTGAGCTGTGCATTTAGCTCCAGAGATCATATCAGTGGAAATTAGGAATAGAGTCCACAGTTGTATAGGCCATCATGTTATTAACACACCTACTAAAGTCAGAGCAACGCATAGCAGCTCCTGTTTCAAAACTGCCAACATGCAAAATATATTCATTCAATTACAACTTCTGATGCCTAAATATGCCCATTTGAACAATTATCTGTCTTTTAATAATTTTCTATATACATAAGCTGTATATCTGAAGTTCTGGAAAAGCGTCTGTTGGAATTGTCATCTATCTTGTTGGCTACAAACACAAGAAAGACTTTCCACTTCTTTGTCAGACCTTTGCAAACAACAGAAAATAAAACTGAAAACACCTGCAAAGACTTATTTTGTCTTTGGACACTCAAAATTAACTAAGGAATGAACAAAACGGCTCTACATGTAATGCCTAGGTCTTGAGAATAGAAACAGGATAACCCATGCTATGCAGTAGGATATTCCTCATAACATTCCTGGCCTAGATTTCAGCCCCAGTCTAACATACAGATACACAGGTAAGCACCAACCTCTACTAAAGATAGCAGCTGCATAAAAATGTACATCTCCGATTAATGCTTTTTACCTGAATGTGTGCTGTTGAAGTCTGCTATGAATACAAAGCCATTTTCATCTGTCTGCACAATACAGACAGTAAAACAATCTCTGTTCAGTTTTATATTTCCTAATTTTGCCTGGGATATTACAACCAACATGATAGGCATTACAAAATTAAGATAAATAGATCAATTACTTGATACCAAAATTTCAACAAGTTCTTTGTTGACTTACCTTGCCAACAGATCTGGGGAACGGTGGTCTTTGATTTTCAGGAATTAATATTGGAGTTGCCAAAATAGCCCTTTTTTGTCTTGGAATTCCAAGGTTGCCTTCTATCTTAAAGATTTCCTTTAAAAAAAAAAAAAAGAAAGAAAAAGACAGATTACAAAATAATATTCAGTTCTTTTTTTCCATTCCCTGCATCTTTAGGCAAAATTAACATGAACTGCCAGATTCTAGGTTTTGTATTATATGTTTTCCAGCAATCAGTAATAACCTATCAAACTATTTATTTAAATCTGTCAGGTTACTCCACTTATTACAGTGACCATGGACAGACAATATTAATTTTGTATTACTGTAGACTAATTTAAACCTAAGCAAGCGTGTCTACCACCCTAACCTGATGACAGCTTAAATGATAAATCTTAAACAAGGTCTGGCTTGCCTCAAATACTCGCATGAGACCTGTAAAAAACCACACTTTAAATGTCTTGCATAATTTTCACATCTCAAGTCGCATCTATACCTGGTTATTTCTCAGCCCAGGCTTTTGTAAAAAATCAAACATAACTTACAGGTAAATTTGCTGAGACTCCCCCGAGCTAACAAAATCTCAATAAACACCAAAACCTTGTAAATTAAAATTAAAAATAGACACCAAAACCCAGATGTAACCTAGAATATCAGCTAGCAGGTTTTTTTCTTGTGTTGGGTGTTTTGTGGTGTTGGTTTTTTTTTTTTCTTAGAGAAAACTTCATGCTACTATAACAGAAAGAACAGAAGTAGAAGTGGTTTATACACAAGTCCTCCTTTTCCTGCTGCATTTTCTGGAGTATTTAGTTCTAGCTGAGCATCAGGCAATTCAGCACTTATGAGCTATGGCAAACTCTTCACAGTGGCCTCTGGGCCCTAGAAAACTCTGTCTGTCACACCTTTGCCTTCCCTCCCCTTCTGCTCTCTGATCCTCAGCGCTCTCTGCTGTTTGAGCTGCAGTTTCCCAGAGACCACTCCCTTCCTTTTGCTTCCTCCTACACAGTCTTTGCAACTCTCTTCTCCAAGCATAGTTACTATTGAGGTCAAAACCAGCCTCTCCCCATGTCCCAAAGCTCTCTCCTTGATCCAGGCCTCTTTTTGGAAAACAAAACAAAACGAACAAAAACCAAACCAAAAAAACACGACCAAAAAAACCAACCCACGCACAAATTTGTACTGTGTTTGGAATTGTGAAGCTGAAAAAGATTTTTATCACTACTATTCATTCAGGTTGTCGTGAGAGTTTGTAGAAAAGAAATCATAGATTGAATTAAATGTCTAATTCCAATAAGGTAGTTGCATCCTAGAGATAACGCTTTTGTTTGCTCTCTTAATGCAGAAACACCAGAAACCTAAGTTTCTCAGTCAGTTCTGGAATCTGTGTTGTTGTTTTAATAGCTGCTACTTTAATACAGGAGACCTTCATCGCTAAGCTGTATTTTTATAAAACTGCAAAGCTGAATGAGTTTTCTTGGTGGCATAACCTGGACATCCACCAGTGAAGAAATCCACAGGCTGCTCCTGCCACCATCTGTACATTTACCTCCCCATCTAACAAGTCTATCATCAGCAAAACACTGCTCTACCTCTACTAACTCTAGTATCACTTTTCAAATTTGACAACAAACAGCAGCAAGGGAAACTCAAGTCTTTAACAGTCAGCTTTAGACATGATAAAGTCAAAGAACAGTGGAAACCATGCAGAGAATGCCTTCTCACAATTTTGCCAATTTTCATAACGTTTTGGGGCTCACCCTGATACAGAGTTCCCATCTCTCCCAAAGGTTTTGCCACTTCTCTCTAATTTTTCAGTCTGCAGGCCACTTGGGTCCCTATTTTTGTCTTTCAATTCCTCTCCCAAAAGAATTTTCCCTAATAAAAATCCATGAGAAAGTTCAAGATAAAAACATTTGAAGTGTCAAATGAAAAGGAAAGAACCAAATTCTGTCCAAAGGCAAATGCACAGAGCGATAAGCTTCCAAAATCACTTACACTGTAAAACACAGCAGACAGTTTGGGTGGCGTGTGTCTGTGACATTTCTAAGGAGAGTAAAAGTGACTACCGGTGTGTCTGAAAGGAAATATAAGTTCTTTAGCTCAGTAGAAGCAGTGCTCAACTGACCACAACTTTCATTCATGCTAAATCCTACCTTCAAGGTTACCCTTCAGCTCATGAAAATGTAAGGAAGACCTCCCAGACATATGCTCTTTGGAAATGAGCAAGACATTTATTCAGATTTACATCTCCTTGTATCATAAAATCATAGAATGGTTTGGGTTGGAAAGGCCCTTTAAGGGTCATTTAGTCCAACCCCCCCTGCAATAAGCAGGGACATCTTTAACTCAATCAGTTTGCTCAGAACCCCTTGAATGTTTCATGTTTCTTTCCATGCTAGTTTGAGGAGTAAAGGGATTTTCAGATTCTTCATTATCTAGAATTCTCCCAATTTTGGTAGTCATAACCATAACCCATAACCGATTAATTCATCACTTTCTCATGACAAGCTATCCTTACGCTTTCCCAGGATGTCCACAAATGGAAGAAAAAGCAGCCAATACCAAGAAGCAAGTTCTAAAAGGAAAGTAGAAGGGCAGTAAGACTTAAGGCCTTCAAGTCGAGATTTCTGAGGAGGACTTTGGAACAAAAAAGGAAGAATAATACTATTTGTTTGTTTGTTTTTAAACATAATTGGTCTGTTACACTGAGAAGAAAGCTTCAGCAGATTGGGCACAGAAATGTAAGCACTTCTCTGAGTATGTTTCACACTGTTTATTCTTCAAGTCTCGCTGCTGGTTTTTAAATACAGATTTCTTCATGATTATTTCTCTCTCTCTCATCATCCCCCGGAGACTAACAGCATTATGACTGATTAAACGAGTAGCCAAAATTATCTCTATGGAATGCAGGTAAACTGAAAGGAAGAAAAGGTCAAGAGTACTTCACCAACACGTTTAATAATTCAGTGCTGTTTGTGGTTATCATAATGATTTCCCCATTTGTAAAGAACAGGGAAAAAGAAAAAAACATTTAGCTTAATGCCAGGCAGCTGCAACTGATGGTTTGGTCCTCAACCAATAGATAAGACAGAAGCTAAAGAACCTGAAATTACGTGTGCACTTAACACCTGATTCAACAGTCAAAACACTGAAAAGATTCCCATTCACAGGTGGATACATTGCATATATAATACTTTTTACTGAATTCACCTATTTAATTTCTTGAAGAAGCAACTCGCAAGCGATATGAAATTACTCCAGACAGAGTCGGTAATTTTGCCTCAAATTTTCTTACAGTATCAGGCTAGCATTATAACAGGAGTCTTCTTTTGCCCCTTGACACAAGTGAAACCCAAACAGCAGTTTTTCCTCATCCGTGCTGGAACCAGCTGATCAAAGATCATGGTACCTACCACATTTCTGTAGCAACCACAACAGGACAAATATTATTGTGCCAGGAGTCTGGAGATGTCAGTCTGGAGAGCCTAGAATGTCCCAGATGGGTGGTGTTCAACCAGCACCCAGAGAGCCAATGGCTTTGATTACCATCTGCTCCTCCCATACCTGCTGCTTTGTACAACAAACAGAAACCTAAGGGGTATGTCCAGAAAATCCATCCATGAGCAAAATTTAAATAAATTAATAAATGCCTCTCTAAGAAAAGTGCACCAAAAATACAAATTATGGTTTTCTGATAGAAATTTTTTTTTTAAAACCAAAATGGTATGAGAGAAATCCTACCAGGTTCTGTATTTTTGCTATCTAACTGCAGTATCACATCTGTAATTGCTATCTTTCAGCTGCTATTTTCATGGACAGGGGATTATCTGATCGGAACCCAACTATCATTTCACTGCCCACCATTTTATAACCAGCTTTTACACCCTATTTTTCACTTCATTGAATTCCCTTTCTAGACGTGGAATTGGTACAACAGTTCAGTTCCCAAAATGCTGATTCAGTGGCAACAAAGCCTGATTCCCTATTCACACTAAGCAAGGAACAAACAGTCTCCTCACTTTTCCAGCATTTAGGTTAGGCTTTTATTGAAAGATGCCAGTCTGCCCAAACTATGATGCTATGCAAGTTGCAATTTCCCTAGATCCCCTGAGAACACTTTCCTGCTCTGTTTTGTTTTTCCTTCTTTTTACCCAGGGTTCTTGGGAGCATTGCAGTGCTTGAATATTTGAATGAATGGCCTAGTCACTATCCAGTAGCAGGCACCATTACTCTTGGCAAAGAAAATTTCATTAGAACTTGTCATGGGAATAAGGTGGCTGAATGCTGATATCGATTTGTCACAATAAGGGTTGGAAACATCACTGGAGTGGCAATTTGTAATCCACTATGGTGACCAGAAAAGTGGTTGAGTTTCTGGCCATTTAGTTGTTTTTATATACTAAACTTGATGGAATAAAATGGGGTCAAGTCCCAAATTAAAAAAAAAAATAAACAAAATTAATTGGATGTTTGTTGCAAGCAAAATTCCTCTGAAATAGTAAATGGGGTGTGGTATTCAGTGGTGTATCAGTCTTCCTATAAAATAGCATCACTACATAAGACTGAAAAACTAGAATTGCATGCAGATCAACTTAAAAAGAATATTTTTTTATAAAATTCTCAGCTGAAATTTCACAATTTTGCTGTTATTTCTATCATCAAAATATTGTTATTATCAGGATTAACAGTTAACGATTTCTAAAACATGTCAAAAGAGAAAAATATTTTCTCATGTTGTTAATAATATGAAAACCTAAGAAATGTGCTGGAACTTTACTTGTAAGTTAAAGAACAATAGTTTAAACAAACAATTAACTCAATGAAACAGGTTAAGAATTGTAAAGGTCAATGGCATATACACAAACATCTGCTCAAAAGTAGTCTGTCCTCAATGCTTGTTAATGTCACCGCAAAAAAAAAAATAAAAAAAAAAATCACATTATATATTTCAGAAGAACAAATCCACCTAAAATCTAGCGTGCTAAGGGGAATCAGGTATGTCAGAGCACAAAAGCTTCCCGGCTTGTGAAGCATGGTCAGATATAACATCTGGGTAATGGAAATTGCTGGTGGAACTTGACTTAATTACACTGGGC